TTGTACTATCCTGCTGCCTTTGGCTCCTATGTTACAGACCAAACGGCCAGCCAACAGCTTTTCAATGAATGGAAGCATCTCAAAGGAGTTGCGCGTTATGGGCCATGGTTCACAGCATGGCAAGCACACCAAGTGAGTATAGATCAACTTTGTAGCACTCATCGCTTGATTTTTGGTGAGGTGGTCTGTCGGTAGATAAGTCAATCTGTGAGAGAATGACTATCTAACCAAGATAACCTTACAATAGTTAATACATTAATTTATCAGTCAGTCAGTCAGTCAGTCAGTTGATATATCACTAAGAAACATACACTCTTCCTCAGGGTGGGGTTTGGAGAGGGCCTAGAGGAGAAAGACCCTGAGGATGAGGTGAACGAGTACCTGATGAGGGCCATTGACGCACGTAGCATTGACCGACTTCGGGCAGAGCACTGCAAGACCTTTCTTCTCACCTTCCGGCGCCCTGACATCGAGGACAAGGTGAGTCGGTCTTTCAAGTACCAAAATATGTTACCCACGTTAATACGCTGTGGCAGAAACTGCCTGTTGTCTCAGGTTTTCCTTAGTTCCTCTCACCCTGCGTATCTTGTGTTGCAGTACTCGAAGGAGAGGGACCGTATGCTGTCCACTTATTTCTGTTGCTCCTTCTTTATCTTCCTGTCCATTCTCGTGGTTCAGCTGCTCATCATCCCGCAGTGAGTAGTATTATAAATCTTGTCCATTAATGTTACCTCCAAGTAGGAACAGTAACTACCGCTTATAAAATTCTTCGTCAGCACTTTTCTCTTGTCGTCTCGCATATTTCAGTGTGAGGTAGGGGTGAATCTGTTAAACATAAAACATGGACCTGCTTCTTTCTAAGCTACATGTCTAACATGTAACCAGTCTGATTTGCATAATCTAACGGCGTGAGACTTCAAGCGACTCCATGTTTGCTTCAATATCCAGCGGTCGTTCAGGATATCAGTCAGATAGTTATTTACTGACTTACCTAATGAGATAAGAGTTACTTGGCTACTGAGTTAGTCGGTAACTGAGTTACGTAATGGGTTAATTGGTTGAATGCGTGGCTGTGTTGCAGTTCCCACCTGATGCTCAGCTCTTTCATAGCGGGTGGATGCATCGTCACTCTCATCAACTTGGTGGTGCTGGCTGAGAGCAGCAAGGTCAGGCAGAGTGCCACATGTTATAATATTCTGGAATCTTAATGCGGTAGACTCTGGGCTACCTTAAATACCACTGCTGCAACTTTAGATCCAACGTGGGAAATTACTATATTTCTTTATCCGCAGGCAACGGGCCCTGAGGCATCACAAGACCCTCAGTGATTTTAGTCTATTATTTTTTTGTGAAATGGAATAGTTTTGTTTCAGATACTTTTGAAGATAATTATTATCATATGATAGTATCAGAAGATGACATGAAATCATCTGATTCAGAAAGCAGGTTTATTGGTTAATTCATCAAGTATCACTTCTTAATTCCAATTTGGAAGTAATTCATCAAGTATCACTTCTTAATTCAAATTGGGAAGAGTAAAGCTGCCCATCCACGTACGAGTCCGGCTCGGCTCGGGTTCCATCGGGCCAAACTCGTTTGTGGGTGGGGTGTCACGAGCCGAGTCTGCTATGCATGTGTGGTGAAATATATCCGAGCCTGGCTCACGAGTCAAGCTCGCCGAGCCAGACTCGTACGTGGATGTAATCTAAATATAGAAATTAGAAAAAGTATACACAATAAGTTGAGACACGGAAGAATTATTTTATTGTCAAGTTAGGAAATGTATGCATAGCATATTTTCAACTTTTGTAAATAGTGCCAGTGACATCAGAGTTGTCTGAGGTCAGTGATCTTTGCATTTGTGTGGCGCCTAGCATTTGTCTGTCTAGGTAAAATGCCATCACAGGCTCCTTCATGTATGTGTGTGTGTGTCAATGGCTAGGGATTCACCACTTCCACTTCCACGCACATAACACGTATGTAAAGTGACCATTATATATTTTCTTGCCCAAAATTGGAATGTGTTGACAAAGTTTTATTATTCATAAATATCAAAATAATAACCATATGTTTCTTATTGTAAATACAAGACCAAAGCGGTGGTCTTGGATGAAAAATATAAAAACGCGGCGGCATTGAATGTGTTAAATTTAAAAAAATTGTGCACACTTTTATAAATGCATGGGGTTAAGGGTAATGACTCACCTGTTAATGAAACTGTTCTTGTTTAATTAGATGGTAATGCGTCAGTGTCTGAAATTTTCACGGTCGTCTCATGTTGGCTACTGACATTGCATTGTTACCAAGTTTCACGAGTCCACGTGTTATTACTGGGTGACACCCAGACAAAGGTCAGCTCAGTGGAAACTCATGTTTTCTTTGCAGGTGGCACTGCCAGTTCTGCGTGGGATCTGCAGAAACCGGGCTGTGGCACAAATGTTGGCAGCCACCGTGCTCCTTGTCACGTATGCCATCACATTGTCTCCGATGGTGAGCACTCATCACTGCACTGTGTAGGTAGAGGACCCTTTCCAAGGAATCCTGCCGTGTCTAAAATATTTACTGAAGCAGAAATCTCTGAACTGGGAAATAGACTGGGGGGGAAACGATAAATAAACTAACACAGAATGAAAATGCAGACACCTACCTGAATCATCTCCCAGATTTATATTTATGTTCATTGAGATCTGACTCTTTATTTAGACATTTGGATAATGTTTCAGCCCTGTTGGTCCAGTAGTGCCAAAATTAGTATTTTATTACCAAACTTAAGTAAGGGTATTCAAAAAAAATTGTAATGACTTACTAATCATTGTTTGGGAGTTTAAATATAACAAACAGACAGACAGTTGGAAAGCAATTCATGTCATATATATGAGGTGCTACTTTCGATCTCATGTGAGGAGCACTTAAAGTATAAGTTCCATGCTCTATGGACAAAACTAAATTACTTTTTACTTATGTTCCATTCTAGTTTATATAAGACATGGACACCATCTGTAGGCTCAAAGTATTGACCAAAAATCATTCTTTGTTTCTTATTGTCAAGATATATATATATATATTCTACGAGATGTATAATTAAGTTATGTAGTTGATGCAGCATCATTCTGTCCTGCTGCCAGTTCACGTTGCGGTCAGAGCTGTGTCCCATAAACGTACTGCAACCCACCATGGAGTTGAATGCAACATTCAGCAGGGGACAGCCAGAGTCGCAACTGCCCGAGAACACCACAACAACTCAATGTCCCCCACAAGTTAGCCACAACCATGATTACTTAGACGTGAGTTTGGCCCATGCATTCCACATCACCTTCAGGTCTGCTTGTGACTGTCCTTGTTAGCAAATTTTTATGGTTGTAACTATCTGTTTCAGTACTTCACATTCTGTGTGCTGCTTGTAATGATTATGTGCGCAGTTTACCAAATCCTCATCAGCCTTGCCAAGTTGGTCATCTTGTCATGCATCTGCACTGGCTACCTAGCACTCATTATGTTTTATGTGGGGTGAGTTGACGCACTGCCCTTCGTACTGCTGGTATTACCAGGTGTGTGAGTCGCATATCAACAGTTGTGTGTTTGCAGGAATAGGAGTGAGATGTTATGGTACCGCTACCTCACAGTGGTGATTCTGCTGAGTTTTGTCGTAGCCCTTATCATCCACAGCCAGCACACCGAGGCGACCTACAGGCTCGATTTCCTATGGAAGCTCCAGGCCACTGGTAAAATTATTCAGACAGCCGTTAATGTATAATGATGCGTGTATTCATTAACAAAACATTACTATTTCATACTAGTAAAATGATTCAAAAAAAACGACGTTTAGGAGATGGGATTAGCTCTATCTAGTGGGCCCAACTGTGTAGGAACCTGAAGACGGAGATAGAGTCCCATCTCCGAAACGTCGTTTTACGTTTTATATTTACTAGACGATGGATAATATCCAAGAAAATTTTTATTCAATTGACTCTTCACCATCGTCAAGAAGTTTTAGATCTGAGATTCAAAATGAGTTGTTAACAAACAATTTCGTTAACGAAAACACTCGACTAAAATCGACTGAAGAAATTTGTGAAAATGGGAGAAGCTAATATTTGGTGTGTGCAAACAATCATAAAAACATAGCCCATAACATGGACTGATAGTAGAGGTACTTGCTGCCACCACCATCAGGGTGCCCTGATGGAGGCAGCAAGTACGTCTGAACTGTCTGTAAACTTCAACCAGAGTACACCGCGCTACAACTCAGAAGAGAGCCATCTTCAGACTTGCTGCTGTGAGAACCTCAAATTCTATTTCATTACGGGTTGCTGAAAACTTACATCTTAAAGACAGGAAATTGTTTTAAGAAGCAAACTGTATGATTGACAGGTAATGAGTCTGTCACTTTACTGCTATTTGTGTGTCGTTCTCATCATTAGTGCTCGTGGCAGACATATTATGTGCCAGTTTTAAGTTGTAACTTAAAAAAATATGTTCAAAAGATGTTGGAATCTGATGATAGAGGCATCAGATATTTTTCAATCAGGTTGAACACCAGTTAGACTGCGCACTGCACTCGGATGCAAATACATGCATCATGAAATGTGTCTTCTGTGCCTTGGTAAAAGTTATTTTGCAATGTGGCGTTCTAAATGTAAGCGGATGATTGCGTTTCCAGAGGAGAAAGAGGATATGGAACATCTGCAGGCTTACAACCACAAGCTGTTGGCAAACATACTTCCAGTCCATGTGGCAGAGCACTTCCTGTCCAGTGAAAAGAACGCAGACGTAAGTGTAGCTGCCTCCATATCTGATGTAAGTGGCACTCTTCTTTATTGACCCTTCACCAAACACCAAGAAGTAGATTGGCAGCCCTGATCCTATTCAGTACACCCTGATTCTTGCAGATAAATTAGAGGATGAATGCTCTTTTAAGAATGAAGTTACTAGTTTCATATGCCTCTTTCGACTTTATTAAAAGACATCTGTTACTTCTGCTAGTGTACTAAATGTGCCTAAAATTTTTATTTAAGTTCTTGTCCGCAGTGGCCACGCGGTCTGAGGCGTGGGTCTTGTGTCGCTTGGTCGCAGGGACCGTGGGTTCGAATCCCACTCAAGCCATGGATGTTTTCTGTGTTGTGTTGTCCTGTAAATAGGTAGAGACCTTGCGACGGGCCGATCCCTCATCCAAGGAGTCCTACCGAATGTCCATAGATCAGCCAACTGAAAAAGGTTGGGGACCCGTAAAGGGTACTGGAAAATGTACAAACATTGTTAAACCAGAAAAAGAAGAAGTTCTTACTTGTTAGTTTCACTCACTACAAATATGATTCACAGAAATTTTTGGGAGTTTCTTAGGGGGCAAATGTGAATTGTATCTGGTAGATACGATAAGTATATTTATATTTGGCGATACTTGCGTACTTCCATTTTATTATTCATTGTGTTAAAAAATATATTTCGTCCGAGGCTAAATAGGTATGACATCTGATACAGCCTTGTGAAATGTCTGGGTAAGAAACCTGTTTTTATGAAAGCATTGGATACAAATTGTTTTAAATGTACTGAGGGAAGAATAAGAATTAGAAACATCCTCAATGAAGAAGTTGGAATCCAAAATTTGTTAATAGAATTAGAAGAGAAATTTCTACGTTGGTTTTGGTGTTTGAAGAGAATGGATCGAACAGGGGTACTGAGAAGGGCATAAGAATTTAAATTTAAAACAAATCAATCCATGGGATGACCCACAACAAGATGGTTCAGTCAGGTGCCAGAAGATGTCAAGATAGGAAGGAAGAGACATTATTTGTGTCTTGCCTTCTTTCTCTTAAGCCCGAATATTTTATTGCGTGGCTTTGAAACCCCGTTGTTGTTTTTTTTTGTATCAGGAACTGTACCATGAGCAGTGTGAGTGCGTGTGCATCATGTTTGCCTCCATTCCCAACTTCTCTGAGTTCTATGTTGAACTGGAAGCAAATAATGAGGGTGTGGAGTGTCTCAGACTACTCAATGAGATCATCGCAGACTTTGATGAATTGCTGGCTGAACGTCGCTTCCGCTACATTGAGAAGATCAAGTCAACGGGCGCCACCTACATGGCTGCCTCAGGTTTGAATAACTCACTTATATACTTTGATCGCTGCCTTTCCAGGTGACATTACCTAATTTTTTGTCATTCTGAAGGCATCAGATGAAGTCAAGACAGTTTAATTATTGGCAGTAAAGAAGATACAGTTGAGGAATTCATTTTGAAATTTTAAATTAATTTTAGTAGGCATTTTGGGTGCCCATAATAAAGTTATATATATATACATTTCAACAAACGTTTAACAAAGGTATCAGATATAGCATCATACGAAGTGTTTATAAATAATAATGGAAGGAAGTTTTTGTACCTTTTTTAACATACCGTCCCACCTTGAGGAAGTTTGAGAAATCACAGAAGGACAAATAATTTGAGATAAGATAAGAAACTCAGGGACTCTCGATATGAATCGTGTACTGACCAGTACTACATAGTGAATTTTAGCAGCTGCTATGCTAATTCCTCACTTTGTTACAGACAGATGTGATTGGTTATAACGTTATTTAATAAATAATTGTTCTAGAAGAAGATGTCACGGAGCCATTAGAAGACAAATAGGCTCAGACCGCAGCATCTCATAATTTACTGTATGATTCATGTTATGGACCTTATATTGCAGGTCTCACAAAGAGCACATGCGACATGCGTGGGTACCATCATGTGACTGCAATGGCAGATTACGCACTGAGGATACGGGAGCAACTTTCCTATGTCAATGAGCATTCCTTCAATAACTTCCGAATCCGAATAGGTGAGACATTGGCATTCGATTTGTAAAGGAACATTGATCTTCTAAATGAAAACATGTCACAGTTTCTAGCACAAAATATTTTTGTATTATCAATGATGGTGCAAAGAAGAACATTTGGGAACAACTAATTTAAACCACTGAACTACGGGACTGTCGACCAGGCTCTGAAGTATGACGATTTTGTGGTTCACTGGTGTGCTAATGCAGTGCATGGCCAGAAAGTAATGAAGTAATGAGTGTGGTCTGTGCCAGGGATCAACATTGGACCTGTGGTGGCTGGTGTGATTGGTGCTCGAAAGCCTCAGTATGATATCTGGGGGAATGCAGTTAACGTGGCCAGTCGGATGGATTCCACAGGTGTACTGGACCAGATACAGGTGAATGGGCCTTTATGAGATTTTGTATTTTGGACATCGAACAACACATGGTGTTGGATTTTACAGATTGGGGAAAGGGGGTTAACAACACTTAGCCATAAAATGCCCTTTTGTTTGAGGTCTTTGGTATTTGGGGATGGGAGTTGGGTGGAATTAGCTCAAGATTATGTCCCTTGATGGGCTTTGGTATTAAAAGTGTTGAATTTCTGGGTTCTGCTAGAGAATTACTTCTTCAGGAACTTATATACTTGGCTTGTAAATAAATAAGTCATGTCCATAATTAGTTAGTTAGTTATCTAGTCAGTCAGTTGTATAGCTAGTAAGTTTGTTACTTAATGAGTTAGTTTATTACTTAATTGGTCAGTTAATTAGTTAGTCAGTCAGTGAGTTATTTAGTAAATGATCTAGTCAGTTAGAGATTTCACTAGTTACTCATTTCGTTTGTTAGTCATTGTGCTATATTGAACTTATGTGCAGGTGACACAGGAGATGTACCAGATCCTGCATGCCAAGGGCTACCCTCTTACCTGTCGGGGCACCATCAAGGTCAAGGGGAAAGGTGAGATGGTGACATATTTTCTGAATGGATACTCCAGCATTGCCGCAACGCCGTCGAGTGCAGGCACCCCTAGCCAAGATCCAAGCTAGACACATGGGTGTGTTGGTACCAAGGTGTAGGGTTCTGAAGGTTCTGTCTTGTAGATATTAATTAACTTGGTTGCAAACATCATACTATAGATCTCCCTCCCTCTCAACAATACTAACAATTGGCAAGTTTGTATGGTGGCGAAATCACTGTGACCATTCACTGAAAGATCTTTAAGTTCTAAAAGACAGGTCTTTAGAAAATATGCCATTTTTTGAAGATGATGTATAGATATAATATTAACATGGTGACCACACAGTATTTTGTTTTCATGACCATACTTCATGAGCCAATATAACCTGACATTTGAAATGTTATAAATATGTAGTATGAGTGACAGTCACACTTAAAATATATAATCCTTCAGAACCCTAAAATGCACCCTGTCATGGTAAGTCTGCAGAACTTCTGATTGAAGCACCAAGATGTCAGAAGATAGTTGTACCATATGCCTCTGGTGAAATGAAACTGTGCCAAATCCTTCTCCAATCACAGCGTAGAACTCTAGTTATCATATTTAAACAGGGTACTTAGTGAAATTGTCGCCCTCGGTGGACTAGTGGTTAGCGTGCTCGCCACTGGACCCAAGGTTCGTGGGTTCAAACCCAAACGAGGTCGGTGGATTTTTAAGGGTGATAAAAATCTGTAGCACAACTTCCTTCGGAGGGGAAGTAAAGCCGGCGGCCCCATGTCGTAGATTTACGGCATGCAAAAGAACCTTACGAGCATGATGCAAGATGTTTCGTAAGAAAAATTCAGCGGCTATTTCTCACCCAAGTCTCTCCTGATTCACTACTAGATGGCTCTGGCAGTCAAATCAGGATTGAGTAGAAATTGTGCAGAGTCAGTGGGCTGGTCACTTACTACTCACAAATGCACACTTCAAAGACTAGGAAACCTCTGAATAGGTGGTGAAAACCCACAAATGGGTTGTAGAGCCAAGGATCAACAACTTGGTGAAATTGTGTTTCTTGTGTGTACCTTATGGAGCAAAGACAGACAGTCCTTGGGCCCTTATTCTGACAAGTGTTCTTTCTGTTCTTTTCTTTTTGTTTTATTAATTTATCTTAAGGACTGTCATTGGTAGTATATGTGTTGTCAGAATCAAGATATGGTCTACTGGAAAAGAAAAACCTCATATATTGGGCAAAATTAAATGAGATATGCATTTTTGGGCTCATAGGTACTGAGAGGTAACCAAATGTGATCAGGACTTTGTAAGTGCTCTGGGTCTGTGTGTGTCATTATGTCTCGTGTTAGTCAGCGGTACTACAGTTGTGTAGTTTTATTTTTTCATTGATCTTTGTATAACTACATGATAGGTAAACAGATTTTCTAAACAGCTGTCAAGTGAAAGCAGGAAATATGTAGGATATGATGATTTGGTGACTGACACAGTCTTTTGAGAAATTGTTCAGCATTTCTTCTGTTTAACTATAGCACACTTTAATAAATAATTTATGAAAGAATATTCCTCCCCATATCAATTGTCACTACCTGCCTTGGTCTGGCTAGTACTTTGCTGGCAGACAACTAAAATTGTAGGGATATCAAAAATGTTTTACTGCATAAAACAATAATGGCATAAGAACAGTAATAACAGCAGTAAAAATAATAACAAATAATATACCTCAGCATCGTCGTGCAACTGTTGGGGGAATTTGCATTTCCATATTTTCCTACTTGTAGACCAGAATTTGTCACTGCCCCATATATTTAGAACAGACAAAGGATTATACTCATGAAATCTATTATTTCTATGATTTCTTAGAAAAGAATAAATAAATGCCAAAGCTCATTGGATCACTGCTCCATATCCATAATTTTGTATTTTCACATCCAATCTGGCTAGGGAGACCCTACCAGTAGCTATGCTACCGCCAGCATAGCTCTTGGGATCATTGAGGTACTCAAGCCCCACCACCACGACAAGGTGAAGGTACCATTAAGTGGGGGTCAGTGTGAATATTCTGGGTAATATCTGGCTTTATCACCCAAAAACAGGATTTGCATTAAAACATCACTACCATTAAAGCCTGAAATCTTCTATACTGCAAATACCTTCTTCATGAAGATTACATAGCAGTAGCCATCTGATTATTACATTTAGAAATGCATCAATAATGAGTAAGATTTGAGGTTTTCACAGCGGTGAGTATGAAGATTTTTGTCTTCTGGGTGGTTTCGCCATGTAGTATGGTAGATGTTTACCAACGTTACAGAGGTCATACTACCCTGATGACGGAGACAGTATGACCTCTGTAACGTTGGTAAACTTCTACCATACTACACGGCGTAACAACCCAGAACACAGAAATCTTCAACAATAATGAGATTACAGTTTAATAGGAGACAGAAAGGACAATGAAGCAATAACAGAGGCATTACCACAGCTGTTTAGAGAATCTGCATCATTTCTCGGCCTACACCTCAGAACTCTCTTTGATTGTGGCTGATGCTTTGTCATAGGTGACAGGCATCAGTGTTTTTTGTGCTCACAGAATGTCAGTACCAGGACTATGAAAATTATACATTCAGAGGGTATAATCGTCATTTGAACGAAGTTGCTTAGTGGTATTATTGCAGGCTTCTTACTGCCCGTAGCAGGCTTTGGGTTGCAGAGTATTCTCTCAGACATCAGATAAATATGTTTTTAAGAAGAGTATTCTCTCAGACATCAGATAAATTTGTTGTTAAAGCTTCTATTTGATAAAGTTTTCTACACTTTTGTTGTCAGAATCATATTTGTGGTTGTAAGATTTTCAGTCTGAGAATCTATGCACATTCAGCAAGACAACATTGTAATGTCTGAGTGTAACCTCACTATGTGCTGGTCATCTGGGGTCCAGTTCCCAGTAGGAACAAGGATTATTCCCTTCACCACAACCCAGCATCATGTGTAATGGTGTCTGTGAGCAGAACAGCTGGAGTGTGCATCTCGTCATTTACCTTTATTTAGAGCCAAAGCTCAGAATGTGTAGAGGTTTATCTCCATGGCCTGTATGCTTTTATGCCAAAATTCTTCAAAAAATGTGCAAATGTTCTTTCTTAAAGCATATTGGAGAGGTCATATGTATGTTCATTCGCATATTTCATCTCCAAAACATATCAAATTTAGCATTGGGAGTTTTGTCTACACGAAAATTTGTCGAATGGATATAATTTTGGCCCAGTAGAAGTCGTTTATGACTCGAAATTCAAATTTAACTTTATCATTTTTCTCAAAAATGCTAAATTTTAAAAATATTCATATATAAAATGTGCATCTTGTTAAGGTCTGCAGCACTTCTCGTAAGTATTTTGCGAAACAGTGAATATTTTACAAGGTTCAATTAAATTAAACTGTAACATATGCCTTTGAATGGAGTTCATTTGCTCTGCAACAATAGATTTGTATCTTCATTAAATGAACATCAAGGGCAGTGACGTATATAAAATTGCAATGCAACTCAGTTGTAGTACGGCTTTGTGTTATTTTCTGCCACATAATGTGATTTGTTACTTGAAGCAAACTTCTGGATTCTGTGAGTACCACTGATCAGTGTATTTGTAGCTTAGTGCAAGGGCCTAGGACGTGTTCTCAAAGCACCTTTTCCTTGAATGTTTCAATAATACAATTCTGAAACAAATCTAGCACATTGTCATACCAACATAACTTTTTAATAATTAAGGTTCTACTTGTATATTAGTGCTGTTAATTTATAGTATGGGTAAGAAAGTGGCCTCCTATGAAGTTTTCATTTGAAGAGATCTTGTGAGAAAAGATTATAATGAATTTTCTTTTCTTCAGTTTTGACTAAGTTAAATATTTTTTAATGATCTTTGTATGGGGCTCTGACCATGCTTCTTCTTCATCGAAATTAAGCTGCAGGTTCGAACTTCTAATCATTCATTACTCTATGACTGAGAAAAAAATTAAATCTTAAATAGTTTCCAGTGTTGTAAGGCAGGAAAAGACTGGAAAGGTGTGAATGTAACTCTAAGACTAAAATAAAAGTGTTGTATCTGCTGTATTAAAAGTATTAAAATCGTGTTAACAGAGGAGCTGCTGTCAGGTCTTAGAATCCGCATTTTGATTTGCATGCTTGTGACCACTCAGCTTACAATCTTTTGTTTTTCTCTCATCTGTGTGAAAATGTAAAATTTAAACTACATTAACTTATAGTTTTACCTGTTGTTATTTGTATGTGTCTCAGACTTTGTCCTCCATTTCAAGGAAAGAACACAGTTTGATGGTGTTTGAGAAGAAAAAATGCTGAGAATAATATTTGTAGAGTAAATTGCATAATGAGGAGCTTCACCGCTTTTACTCTTCACCAGATATTGTTAGAATTAACAGATTGAGGGGGGATGAAGTGAGCAGGTTATGTATCATGCATGGGAGAGATGAGAAATGTGTACAACACTTTGGTTGGGAAATATGAAGTGAAAGCTTCACTCAGAAGACCTAGGTATAGATGGAAGGGTAAATAATGTTAAAGAAATAGGGTGGGAGAGTATGACTTTGATTTATCTGTATCAGGATAGGACCAATGGAATATTCTTGTGAACTCAGTAATGAACCTTTTGGTTATGTAAAAGGTGGGTAATTTCTTGACTACCTGAGCCATTGTCAACTTCTCAACAGGGACCCTGCTCCATGGACAGTTACTAAATATGCAAGAGTAAAAATATAGTCTGAACCCTTAAATTAAGAAGTTTATGTTGGTATGACTGATTTCTTCCTTGTGTGTCTTTGCTTGGACTGTTGACAGCTTGATTTCTAGACAGTCTGATTTAACGCTGATTCTTCTTCTGGGTGCTTGCACCATGTGTAAGTATGCTCTGTTTCCAGCATTTTGGAGGAACATATAGCTGCACCTAAGTAGCAAAATTAGAATCAGCATTACTAACAAATCACCATGAAAGCTTAAACCAATCTTCAGTTTAGTAGCCCTGAAACCGTGATGATACAGACCAAGGATTGGGACATTTATTTTCCAAAGAGAAACTGTCTTGGAAATTACATGATGATATTTTTTCTTTGATGCTCATTGAAAAGGGTGTAAGTCAATACAAATTACATTCTATGTAAGCCCTTCTTACAGAACACCAAAGATATAACACAGCCATTTATGGGTTTTTTCCCTCTTCTACTTCTATGTAAGCCCTTCTTACAGAACACTAAAGATATAACACAGCCATTATCTTTATGGGTTTTTTCCCTCTTCTATAGAACATTATCATAACTGTTGTTGGGTTCTTAACTGCGTTAGAAACAGGTGACCAACAGTGCAAAACTGGCCAATCCTGGAGCTCAAACTTCATTCCTTGTTGGACCTAAGTATCCGATGTAATAAAAAAATCTGTGCTTTGTTGAGTTTTAGTTGATACAAGTTTGGTAACGATGTTTACTGTCGCGCAATAACCCAGAAGACAGAAATCTTCATATTCACCGCTGTGAGAACCTCAAGTCTTACAACTGTATTTCCCATCATACAAAATGTTCTAGGTTGGATTATTTTGTTTCCAAAACAAACAGCTATTTAAATGTTCAGGGCTTTGTGGAGGTTTGTAGAGGCATGTCATACACCTTTTTCCATAAAACAGAAAAATTAAGTCAACAACAAATCTGTTACTAATACTGTAGCAGAATAGATTATGAAATAGGAAGATATATCAACATCAAAATTTTCACTTAAGTTTTTGGTTAAAATAAAACAGTATTGTTCCCTGTTATCATGTACAAGTTATTTCTAGAAATGAAGCATGCAAATAATAATAATAATTAATCCACTTCTGATGCTGCTACCACAACTTTAATGATTATCTACTATGTGACTGAAGCACATTAGACCCTATTCAGAGACAGTACTTTACTTCATACCATATTTATTATCCATTTTAATATTATCCTCCTGTGCATGTCTCACAAGTGGTTTGTTACTGTGATGTCTTCCAACAAAATAATTTGTATGGTACTCCTGTCTATTTTATACTCCCTGATTTGATCTCTCTCTCTTTAAAGGATGAATCACCTCAACATCATCATGCTTTTTTGGGTAGTATACACCGGTGTGCAGAACTGACACCTTATATCATGTACCAAAATTTCTTATAACACAGCTCATGGTGGTCAGAATTTGCTGGTCCAATATTAGCTAAACGCTGAACACAAATCTGCAGCAGTCCAAGTCACTTCTCCTCCCATCCAGATTATTAATATGAGATCAAAATACTGACAACATGTACATATTTTTGTAAATATTCAGTACTACATCTGTATATTTTCATAATGTTGTAGCATCAAAGATGAATGGAAACCAAAGTTTCTTTTAAGTGTTACACTTGTCGTTGCTTCTTTCAAAACTGACTTCAGACTTTTGCTGGCTGTACTCTCCAACAGGCTGACTGCATTACAGAATGCACGGTCACTTGCAGATTTGTTAGTCTTTTGTCAACGGCCATGCCGAGCAGTAGCAGAGCTAACAGAGGAGACTGCCCGTGATAATCACACTCTGGGATGTTTTTAGCGCACTTCTGTAGTATATTAATTTTACATAATATTTCATATGAAGTTCTGTTTATTGTGTCTGAATTATAAAACTGTCAGACGTGGTATGATAGAGGACTGGAATATGATATTCATTGTGTGACACCAAGTTCTACACAGTCCCCATCTTTTAAGTGTGTCTTATGCATTCTTTACCCATAGTCTGTTCAATGAATGTTTAATTGGGATGTTTGTCTGAATGTTTCATGCCATTAACATCATATTTCAGTCTGTTTAGTATGCAGAAATGAATTTATATTTCTATTGAATTAATATCATGAGAATGAGTATATGTAAAATCATGAAGAACACATTTAAAAATTATGTGTACTGCATTTGAAGTATATCTGCACCCTTCCATTCTTATTCGAACACTTCCAGATTCAAATTAAATTTATTTTGTTTGTATTTCACAGACTCTAACCAAACTGTTTTCGGGAGTGTCAGACAGAGGATCTACAATACATATTTAACTTTTCAGAATGTTTCATTAACACTCACAGTTATAGTTGAGCTGACTTTAAAGTAACAGTCTGTACGATCACCACATTATCATATGGTGTGAATCCCTGGGTGATAAAATTTAGGTTTCCATACAAGTGCTGCTCCATCTCCATCAAAGAACTCCTTATCCCTTTCCAGCCCTGATGAAAACAGTAATTTTAATTTTGTGAAGTTGGCACTTTCTAAAACCAAGATAAGCCACAGAGAAATGGTTTGAATCTGAAGGTTTTGAAAGAAAGCTACAGTGTAAATGTATGTATAGTCTATGTAGACATGTATATATGGTTGGCTGTATAAACAATATTCTATCATGTTGAGTATGATTTTACTAATTTATTTCTGTCTACCTTCCCTGCAGAATAAATAACTTGATCCTTCAGCATGTACCTTTCATTGCTTGGAATGGCCATTGTCAAGTTGATTCAAAGCCTCTAATCAAGAGATACAATCACAACATAGATCTAGATTTGTAACTTAATAGCACAGGTGAGATTATAGAGACCCCCACATTAATAGCTACACATTTTATTATATTACAGGGTGTAATTTATGCTCTAAACATTGGAATGATAAACCATGATATGTGGGTCCCTTGTCACCAGAGGATGGCATGTCCTTGAGTTGACAAGATAAAGAAAGATGTTCTGCAGATATGGATGATAGCTGCAAATATATTGAAGAAGCAGTCACAGACAGCCCACAAGGAGTTATTCTCTAATTTGGGGGTTGGTTAGGGGGGGCTAATACTTTTCACCATAAAATCTATCATGTTACAACTTGAACTTGAATGGCATCAGGGAGGATGTGGTTGGGGTATGTAGCATGCATGCGAAATATAAAGAATGTATACAGTTGTCTGGTAGGAAAGGTTTAAGAAAATCACTGAGAAGACCCATAAATAGATGAGATTGTAATATTACAATGGATCTTTAGGAAAATAGAATAGATGGATGTGCTGGGTGTATTAGTCTAGTCCAACAAAGAGACTGGTAGTATGATTCTGTGAACTATGAAATTCTCAAGGACTCTGCTCCATGGAGTTAAAATTATATGAGAAGATATTATGAAAAGTTAGTTGAGGCAAAATTAAGTTCTAGTCATTAATGTGTTCAATACATAGCATGCAAATCATGCATTGATATTTTATAAACAGAGGCTGATTGCAAGATTGACATTAGTTTTGTCTCTTCATGTTGTACTACCTGACATTTGCTATCCCTGACATTAGAAGTTCATTATGGCATAACAAATTAGACTCACTATCTGACAACTTCCTCAGAACTGCGGGTAATTCAAGGATCAAAAGATGCTTCAACAACCTCTCCTTGACTACAAATACAGAGCGATCAAATCAAGTAAACTGCAAAGTTCTGTTACACTGACATTAGCTTCTAACGTTTTTGTAATTAAATGCCTTGTATGAACTATTTGTGAGCTGCTGTCTGAACTGTCAGTTCATTGCTGCACAGACTTTTCATGTTTGATCAGCATTATTGTTTAGAGTGTTTATAATTGTTAAGAGTACGTGAAATTTTAATGATTTTAATTGAATTTTATTTATTTCTATTATTTTAATTTTTGGGATAGTAACCATATTCAAAATTCCCACTAAAGCAATACGTCACAAATAGGCGGGAAAATAAACAATATGGATAGTTCATGAAGCGATTGAATGAATTTGAAGTGCGTTTGTATTGCGCGTGTACGGCTCTTTGCCCGTTTTAAAGGATACACTTAAAGTGACAGCTGCTCAGAAGCTAGTAATTCACATTTTAGCTACATCAAAATGTCGAGTATTTCTTCAGAAGTTCCACCTGAAGATGTGATTAACATCCTTGTTGCTAGTGATATTCATTTGGGATATGCTGAGAAAGATTCAGTTAGAGGTATGACATTTATTGAGGCATTTGTGGGATATTTACTATCCCACGACATTATTAAAGAAACTGTTTAAAATATCCTTCGTGTCGTAAGTTAAATGGAAACATAACCTATATGTGCCACCATGCTTTTAGACATGGCAGAAACCTGTGTTACCTTAATATCACAGTCTAACGATCTGTATTTTGTCTGTAAGGTTTATAGTGAAGACTGCTCCTGTTTAATTAGGATAAGATTGGTTCTAGTGTCTGTAATTTGCCTAGCACCATGACTGTAATGAATGATACTTTAACCATATTCAACCCAACTTCAATTTCTTATTATTCCCATGTATAAATCAATACAAAATTACCTTTGCAGGTAGAACCACCTTGTAAAATAATGAACAGTTTTCACTTGACATGTGGAAATGGCTGTGGAAGTTAATGGTCATAATATTTTTAAGGCACCATACCAGCATTTGGTTTAAAAAATGAAGACTATGAAAGCCCCCAGGATAACTAATCACGTATGAAGCAGGAGCAGTAACTAGTAAAATGCAAATGCATTTTCAGATCCAGACCCCATTACATTACATATGAATCTCTCAGTTTATGTGGGTCCCCCATTCCATTTATCATTGCTGATACCTTGTTTATAGAAATGATACTCTTCCTGATGTGGCATTTTTAGAACTTAAGAATTCATTTGTGGCAGAAATATATGGTCTTTGAATATCATTCACTTGAATCAATTTGAACCAGATAATCAATAAATCAATCAGTATGAATGGAAATACTATGGAGACTTGTCACTTAAGGTATATATTGTATGTCCTTTCATTTAATAAAACAATAATTCTGTGTTGTGAAAAATATCAGGTCATTATTATGCACTGTCCCAAAACCTCAGTTAATTTATTTGTATGGAAAGCTGGTATTTGTGTGGTGGCGTTGTCTTTTGCAAACAGATTCATCCTGCACTTCAGTTATTACCGGTTTTGGTCTGCCCTGTGACTTAACATTTTCTTATTACATTCTGCCATGTATCATTCTACTTACAAACATGAAACCTATTCAGTACTTAAATGGGGCCCAGACTAAAGAAGTCTCTTGTTTACGCTGTATATGCAATGTCAACTAATTAAGTTTGTTTATAACAGCTGAATGTCTAATCCAAGGTGTCTCTGTCGTAGGAGAGGATAGTTACATAGCATTTGAAGAGATACTATGTCTTGCACAGGAGAAAAATGTGGACTTTATATTGCTTGGTGGGGACTTGTTTCATGACAGCAAACCGACACAACGATGCGTCCACCGCTGCATGTCTTTGATCCGTAAATACTGCATGGGTGACAGGTTAGATATGAAAGTGTTTTGTCTTAACTTCTTCGAAGTTTCTTAAAGTAAAAGTATGATGTTAGTAATATTGAGTATTAATTATTTGAAATTCTGTCAGAATTAAATACTTTCAAACAGTAATACGTTCTGGAAGGAACTTATGATGCCTACTGCTTTGAAATTCTTTCAATTATGTAGAGAGGCTACTAGAAATAAAAATAATAACACAGTGATGCGCTATATTTTTTAGTAGATCAGAAGTCAAATAAGCATCCCAGTAGCATAGAGTCTGCATAAATGTAATTTGATTTATACACTCAGCATAATGGGGGTGTTATGCCCCACTATCCAAGACTGGACTTTGCCAAGTCTGGATGAAGTTATGTGCACCTTCCATCTGCAGGTTTGTTTGGCAACTACTCTATAATGTCCACTAATATAGACTCACTGTACTTGAAAGTTGTTAGATATGACCTCAACATTTTTCTCCATTAGTTGTTTTTAATTGTACAGACAAATTTCATCCAAACTTTTATAATCTGTGACAGAACTTACCTGAACAGAAGTTGTCACAATTTTTGAACATCTAATACCACATACATTTCAGGACTGTACTGTCAGATGGCTAATGATATTCCCACCTTAAATTTCACACAACCTTCATGTTGGTATTACTGTTGGTGTGGAATTGAAAGATTAAGTGGCCTCTGAAGGTATGTCCATATAAGGTTTTATGAAAATGTTTTAATTTCAGAAATTAAAAGGTACTGAGGAAAGTATTTAACTTAGATGAGAGAAATCAAGTGAAGAATGGGAGAAATTATTTATTGAGAAGCTTTGTGGTTTACACTTTTCTTCATGTGCTGTTAGAATAATCCTTGATTTGGGTATATAGTTCAGAAACTACTATAAACTTGAAGGATGGAGCGGATAAGGAAGGATAATGTTGAAATGGATCTTAAGAAAATAGCTTGTGGTAATGTGATGTTGTCTGAGCTGGCTGTAAATAGAAACAAATTATGTTAGTAGTGCTGTACCTTCAGGTTATAATATCAGTCAGTTGGCAAACATGTCTTTAGATAATGTGAAGTAATAGAAATGCTGCGTCTGTTTATTAGACCTGTGGCCATTGAGTTTCTGAGTGACCAAGCAAATAACTTCAAGCACTGTGACCATCCAGTTGTCAATTATGAGGACCCAAACCTCAACATTTCCATGCCTGTCTTCTCAATCCATGGAAATCATGATGACCCAAGTGGTGAGTGAGTTTTTGAAATAACCAAGATGGGGAGCGTAGATTTTATGAAAAAAATTGTAGGATAAACAGAGAATTTTTTAAAAATATCTTTGGGAATTTAAAAATTTTGATGTTTTGTGAGAAAAAAGATCAGCTGCCTGGAAAAAATTATTGATAGCCAAAAATTATGTTGTATGGACTGAGTAATGCATCCATGAAATTGCACTACCTGGCTGACCTTTGTAGAATCTTGCTGATGAAGACTGGCTTAATAGGATTATGGAAAGAAAATTGTGGTGTATCTCAGCCGTGGTCTTCTGTGAGTCCAGTGACGTTATTTCGATCATGGAGGAAACTTCTTCCAGATCTAGAAGAAAATTATTTGCAAAGTTTTCCTTTAGTTTAATATATATGGTTGTATCTGAAGTATAAATGATTTTTTTTATTAAATTTAGTTGAAAATTATAACCTGTTCCTGGAATTTCATCACCATCATAAACACCTGTTGTCATTGTAATTCAGCTGCTAGTTTAATTAATGTTACTGTGTTGCCAGGCTATGAACGCGTCAGTTCTCTTGATCTACTTAGTGTATCAGGGCTGGTCAACTATTTTGGCAAGTGGACGGATCTGACACATGTTGAGATTTCTCCACTGCTCATGCGGAAGGGAGCCACTCGCCTTGCCCTCTATGGGTTGAGTTACTTGAAGGATGAGCGACTTTCCAGACTATTTGGAGATTACAAGGTGAGTTCAATGTCAGTTTGCTTGTGATCCTGTGGACAGCTTGTAATTGCGGTGAAAGAGGCAGAGTTCAACTCTCAAATCCTCTCTCTTACTAAGCTTTAAAACTGTAGGTCTTTGAGCCTTGAGACATTACCATACATGCTTGAATATAATCCATATTTTTAACTCCCAGTACCTTCCAAAATGTTGACTGCATGTTATATCTGCTTATGTTCTATTCTGACAGCATTTCTTAGAAGCTGCTCTAACCTTCACCTGCGCAGCTTTCGTACTTTGCAAGTTTTCGGCTGGGCTCCATTTTATCGTTATACATTTGTACCATTTTGCTGTGACTTTGAAGTATGCAAGTTTTTGATTGTACATGTATGTATGTATCCATTTTGTGTCATATCAGAACCATATAAGCCATATATTTCCTGTTATTTCTTTATTGTTTTAATATGTATGTCATTTTTTATTGTCTTCTCTGGGTTTTTTAGTTACTTTATTTTGAATTGACTAATGAATTGAAATATTCATATTGAGTGATCCAGCATTATAAATGCTCCTTTTTCATGTTGTGTTATGGCACAAAATTTCAGGTGAAGATGTTTCGGCCACGTGAGGACCAGGAGGAATGGTGCAACGTGTTTGTGTTGCACCAGAATCGAGCTGACCGTGGACCCAAAAGCTTCATTGCTGAAGAAATGTTGCCAGATTTCCTGGATCTTGTCATTTGGGGTCATGAGCATGAATGCAGAATCGTTCCCGAATGGAATGATAACCGTCGTTTCTTTGTGTGTCAGCCAGGTGAGAACAAATCTCTGTGGATATGCTGGGGTGTTGATCAGGAGCGATGAGACTGCATTACGATGCAAGAACTAAGCAGGTGGGGCTGAGACCCATAATTTGAAGTAGGAGCAATACAGGATTTAAAAGAACAGTCAGAGGCCAATCAGAAATATGTTGATTTTTGCTTGTATTTAAAATGCACTATATTTCACTGGATATAAAAAGTAAGGAAGGATATGTTTGAAGGTACATAGTGTAGAGTAATTTTTGTTCTTACCCAGTTTTGTTAAGGTAATTAAATGAAGGGGCTTTTAATAGATAGGCCAGGCAACTTGTGTGGGGAAACAAGAAATACTACAGAATTTTGATTTGAAAAGCATGGAATGAGACGACATAGTAGACAATGTAGATGTGAAGATAATTTTAGATAAGTAGATTTTGAGACTACGAACTCACTTCACTGGTGACAGTGATGGCTATCAGTCCCTGATTATATGACTAGGTCACTGTACTCTACCGTGGGGTTAGACTCTCAGTACTCATAGACCATGACATTTTAAGTTCAGATACATTTAACAATAGTTCACTAAGTGTGGTAATAATAGTGTGAGCTTATGTAATCTCGTTGACCCGCAATACTGTTTATCTGTTAAATTGTTGATATCTCAATATTCTTCATATTTCTTGAGATTTCTTACATAATGAATTTTTGTAAACTTAATATTTTATTTATCTGTCAGTCTTGTCATTTATTTTTGCTTCTAAAATATTGTTAATCTGTTACATTTTTCTGTAAACTGCAGTGCATGTTACAGGAAATTATATGGAAGAAGAGCATGATGAAGTGTGAATATAATAATTTGACCGTAGTTTGTGGATACATTATTTAGTGTGCTGTGAGGTTCGGAACTACATTTTATTGTGTTGCCATGTTGATAATATATAGTACACGCACAGTAGTTTGTGGATACATTATTTAGTGTGATGTGAAGTTCCGAACTACATTTTATTGTGTTGCCGTGTTGATAATATATAGTACAACCACCAAAGTCATAGGTAGAATGCTGTAAGAACCCAGTATTATGGGAATTTAAAGATAGAAACACGACATGTAGATGAGTGATTGGCCCTATGATTTTCAGGGAGCCCAGTTGCAACTTCACTCTGTGAGGGAGAGGCTGTCCAAAAGCATGTGGCCATCTTAAGCATTTACCAAAAGAAATTCAAGGTCACTCCAATCCCCTTGAAAACTGTACGCCCATTTGTGTTTGACACCATCGTGTTGTCAGATTGTACAATAGACTTATCTACAGAGAAACCATCTGAAGAGGTGAGTTGGTACTCCTGGTGACTGGGGGCAGCACACAGTTTGATAAACAAACACAACACATATTGAGGGCCTTAAGTATGACAGACAGTGTTGGGTTAAAATTGGATGAACGTAGTTTTATTTCCACAAAAAGCAAATCTTCACAACCACTCTACAGGAAGTTGTGTGATCTAACATGGTATTTTAAATACATACAGTATTTCTGTGGGGCAACCTGTTTGAAAATAGGAGGATAAAATAGGATGAGTCACAGTGTAAGTAGTTTCAGGTTATTGAAGTGGTCTGACTGTCCTGTACGGTAGAGGTTTTGGTTTTAGCATTGGTAAACCTCCAGATTCTGATATCAGAGAATTTGTTTGTTTAAATATGACTGTCTTCTGGGATGTTGCTCTGTATATTCTCACAGTAATTGACTGACATTTCAGAGGCACTTACTGCTTCCATCATTAGGATGATGGAGGCAGCAAGGACCTCTTAACCATCAGTAAACTTATACCAGACTACATGGCGCAACAACCCAGAAGACAACCATCTTCACACTCAACGCCGTGAAAACTTCAAATCCTACACTCTGATTTTCTTGGACTTCCTGGATGGCATATTCTAAGACAAAATTGAAAAGCGGCGACGCTTTTTCAGGCCATTCTGAATATAAAATGCATCAGGCAAATGTTTACTTATACAAATTTTGGTATAGGTTTCACTTAAACACATTTTAATTAGCCTGACTAGCTTCTTAGGTACACCAAATTCAAGCAAAATATTGTAAAGAACTTCTCTTTTAACTGAGTCATAGGCTTTCTTTAAGTCTATAAATAGTTGATGTACTGTCCTGACTTTTTCTCTAAAATCTGGAAAATGTAGAAAATTTGATGAGTTGTAGTGCAATTGGTTTCTTTAATAAGTGTTTGGACATTTTTTGAAAATGTTCTTGGTCTTAGGACAAAGTATTCAGAAATTTATGATAATATGTGCTCTACCAATTTTAAAATTACTTCATCTAACTAAAACAGTAATTGTCATTATTTTGACAGATTGAAAGGAGAGGTCATCTACTCCATTTATTTTCTTGGAATTGAAGTGGTTATTAGAAAGGCTGATTGGTTCGAGAATACAGAGAAATACATTCTGAAATGTAATGTGAAAGGATGGATGAATAGACATTTTGAGATTCCATATATCTGTAACATCAAAAATTCCTGTTGATTAGCTATATATTGCTTTTGTCATTTGTTTGCAGGTTCAGAAGTATGTCAGTGACTACCTAGAGACCTTAATTGAACGAGCAGCTGAACAGATCTCAGGTATGTGACATGCGATGAGTCAGTTCATTAAGCACAATAGTATATACGAGGCGCGTCCTCAAAGTAAGTTTCCCTGGGGCCGTTTACAGAAACAAAACACAATTTCATGGAAATATTTATTGCAACAGATACAGCAAGTGTCCAGCTATTTTTCAACATATTCGCCACCGGAATTGAGACATTTGTCATACCGTGGGACCAACTTTTAATACCTGTGTCGTAGAAGTCTGCCGCCTGGGATTGGAACCACTGTGTGACAGCCATCTCCGCCTCTCTGTCATTCTCAAAACGCTGACGCTGACCGGACAGGAATTTCTTGAGGTGTAGGAAAAGATGGAAATCACTGGGAGCGAGGTCCGGGCTGTAGGGTGAATGATTAAACACCTCCCAGCTGAACTCCTGCAGGAGACTTGCTGTCCGTCGAGCCGTGTGCGGCCTAGCGTTATCACTGACCGCACTTCACAGTCGGCGGGAGCTGGAATAAGAACCTCCATCTTCAACAGCTGCAACGATGCTAATGTGAGAACGCGGGAAGTTCCATTAGTGCATGCGCCATGCTACGTCATTGCTCTATCACGTACGCACAGTCGCTTCGCTCAATATAAGGTTTGCTAGCTGTGGGACGAGTGGGAAACTTACTTTGAGGATGCGCCTCGTATTAATTGTCTTCACTGTTTGTAAATTGCTTATTTTTGTTGGAGTGATTAAGCCAAGAAGGGCAGGGCATACAAACACATAGATGAAACAAAACATGCTATAGAAGTTTGAAAAGTGTTAAAAGAAGAGACCAATTGGGAGACCAAGACATAGATGGGAGGATGCCAAAATGGCTCATGATCTTTCTCAGTGGTGGATATTTGTATTAATGATGTTGAATTTTATGTTCTGTTATCAGAGAGTTATTTTATGTTTATAACATCAACAAGAGCCACGGTGGTCTAGCGGTTAGAACGCTGGCCTTGTAATCCTGGGGGTCTCGGGTTTGATTCCCGGCGGTGCCCGAATTTATAACTTGTGTTGGGCAAGGCCGTGGTCTAGGCAACACGGAGTTTTCCTCCGTGGCATCCCAACAATTACTCCATTCACATACAGAAGAAGGCAATGGCAAACCACTTCTGGATCATCTGCCAAGAACGTATATGAACAGGTCCCAGTCCGAGAAAAGGATGGAAGGATCCTGTTCATAGGGACCTGTCGTCAGACAGAACACTAAAATAATAAATAAAG